CACAACCCCCAAACGAAGCCGCACGGCGGCTGCAGCAAGGGCACGGCTTAAACAAGTCTCTTGCCAAAACACATTAAGCAACATCGCATAACAATAGCCTGCTAATAAGTGTACGTTATTATATTAATTACTTACTATTACAGGGGGGGGGGGGCAGGTTTCCCTCAAGATCTTGTCCACGTGATGACGGAGGCATCCTATTTTGCTTTCGTTCACCCTAACCAGGCTCACAGCTACGCTTAACCACATCGCAACGCCATCAGGTCTCGCTCCCGCTGGGCCGGGTTGCCGGCGTGGCGAAGAGCAGCAAGTCTTTGCTCTTAAAACCGACGTGCCGTGGTATCGGCCTGACCGTATCTACTGCAAGAATGAAAGAGAAATCATCATCTTAAAAGTCTTTAAGGGAGACTCCCCGAGTGCTTTTAACCAGGGCTCTGACTTGGGAAGAACTCGATTTTTCTCCCTTGCTGGTGGAAACGGCAGAGCGGTCGGGGTCAAAGAGAGCCGTTTTAAGGAACGCCTGCAGAAATGGAAAGCTTTGGGTACAAATCAGGTCAAAGCGTGAAGGATTTGCATTCTGGGCAGCCAAGTCGAGTTCGAGATCGGGTGTGGCTCTCAAGATAGTCCCTAATTACAAACGGTGAACGCTGCTTGTTCTCATTTTACTACTTTCTCATCTAATTTCTCTGCTGTTTTTCTTTTAACCATTTTAGAAGTGCGAGAGGTGCATGCGTCTGCGTGCACGCAAGCGCTGGGGGAGCAGAATTACTCCCCTCGGATCAGCTGATTGTATAAATACTGGTAAAACGGGCAGCTAGTGCCGCTTGTGACTGTTCTTTCCCTCCCAAATGTAGCATTCACTGATGATTAAATTCACCGTGACATGAACACGGGTGGTGTACAAAAGCTGCTCACGTTCCTTTCTTCAACCTTGCTGCTGAGGTCCTTTCTGTTCAGAAAAAGTAGTAAAATTTTTACATTAATTTAATGAGATTAAACAAAGCTCCTGGAATACAGAACTAAATTACCAGAGAAGTTGGTTTTAAATCAACAGCATTGTCGCAGAACAGCAAAGTCCAGCA